CGAAATTTGGGGGAGGAGTCAGCTTTGTTAAGTGCTCGGTCGGTATCCGCGAATAACAGAAATTCTTCTTATGGGAGATGATAAAGTAGGGAATATGATTCAACTATTTCTGCATTATCCTCCTCTCCTTTTGCGGTGTTTTGAATGTCTGGTAGGACGGGTCAGGTATGGTTACATGCAAATTGTCATATGTGATTACTATGGATCGAAGTTACTACTAAATACTACTGTTGTGTCAGGTGTTATTGTCTAATTAACGATGGTTTCTCGCAATAGAGCAACCCTGTGTATTGTGCCAAATTGTAATTCACCCCTTACTACCCCAAAACACAAAATTCCAACAACTAAATGGATACGAAAGAAATGGATAGCAGCTCTTGGATTTACGGATGTATTAGCACAATCAAATATTGATAAATATGGAGTTTGTCAGGATCATTTCCTAAAATCGGATTATTCGGAAACGTCCAACAGAAGAACATTGATAACCAATCGAGTTCCTAGTATCAATATGCCTTCTGTGATCCAAAATCCTCAAAACATCTCAGACAGGCCGAGTGACCCGAGTGGATCGAACATGCAGCTAGGGGATATCGTTGCAGAGGCCTTGAGCGGTTGGACCATGGACGACAGTGAGAGTTTGAATATCGGAGATTTAGGGGCTCCAATAATCAGTGACCAATCGACTCCATCCAAGACAGAGGAAGAGGTAGTTCCTGACCTTGGAAGTGAACTGATCAAGGCAAGAGAGACAATTGTAGAGTTGTCTGCATCAATTGCAAAAAAAGACAAGCTTCATAAGTGTTTGCAGAAGAAACAAAAACAAACGCAACAAAACTACAGTGACCCAGGGCATTTTTATGAACTTGCAGTTGGTTAATGTCGGGAGGAAACTGAAGGTAACGTACATCGAAGGAGAGATAAAAATTTTAGATCGTCAGATATATGTTATTTAGTCTTTTTCCAGGTTCCTCGGCATGATGATACCCTTTTGTTAATAATGATGGATTTAATCTCGTAATTATTTTTCCATATTCTAGCCTATACGGAACGAGACAGGAGGAGAAGAACAAACGATTGACTCATGGGTGAGACAAGTGATCAATATGGGGATTATTTAATTTTTTTATTTTATTCAATAGCTTGACTGAATGCATCGCAGAATAACGACTACTTAATGACTTGTTCTTGAATTTACACCATTATAACTTTTGCCTTGGTTGTCATTTAAAGAGAAGTTCTGTTCAATATTACAAAGCTTTTTTTATAATATTCTCTCAGGACTTTGTGGGCCCAAACTTTTTGTTATAATTTTTAGAAAGCTGGAAGCTATTGTGTCATGGACATTCATTGAATTTTACCGGTGTCTCATTTCATTTTTTCACTTTGACGCCCGCTAATTGATGCAAGGTGGCATTTCTTTCTAATAATATGGAACTAACATGTCTGAACATATTTATTTTATCAATTAAACTAGTTGTTAAAATAATTGTGAAAGTTGAATGAAAATTAATTTTAGAAAAATCAACCTGTAAGGAATCATTTGTGTATAGATCTTTTGATTTATATCTGTAACGATTGAAGTTTGTTTTCCCAACTTTTTTTGGTATTTGTCCGTTGTTAAAAGCAATTTTGAGATATATTATCAAGAGATATTCTGAATAATAAATCACTCCAACTTCGGAAGAAGCTGTCTGACATTGTTGTTCCCAAATCACTCTATTCCAGGATAAATGCACAATTAACCAGAATTTAACATTTCATCAGTCACGGTTTACCCCTTTACTTGTGATTTTAGCTCATTATTTACTGATTTTCAATTTCGCTATTTAATTTTACGAGCACGGAGAGAATGAGGGATCATAGTGTTATCTCGTTACTGTTTCATTTGACACTCTTATGCATTGTATGGCATGGTAAAAATATTCTGCGTCTTAATTTGAAGATTAAGCATTATATGAATAATTAATCGATTGGAGTTAATTTTGGGTTTTGTGATTGTGTTATTAGGGAAGAAGATACACTCGAGCTGCCAAATTGATGGCAGTGAACTTGATTGATCGATTGATCTCATCCAGATTTATTCTTCCCCAACGTACAACACTTGGTATTGTGCTTCAACAAATACCATATTCAACTGGGCCCACTGAGATAGTCTTTAAAAAGCTCGGAGAAATCAGTAGCCAAATGTCAGAGAAAGAAAAATATGCTTTCGTCGTCTGGGATGAAATGAAATTGACATTAAACGCTCAATATAATCAATTTAAGGATTTAATTGTTGGATTTGAGGATTGGGGATTCCTCCGCACATCTCATTTCGCTGATCACGCCCTGGTTTTCATATTAAGGGGAATGAATAGTGGATGGAAAATCCCGATTTTTTTTGGCTTTTGTGATTCGGCAACTAGAACTGAAAATCTATGTCGATGCCTTGAAATTCTCGTTGGAAAAGTGGAAGAAACAAGATTCCATGTTGTTGCCACGGTTTGCGACTAGATGAGTAGTAATCTCGCGACAATTAAAAAATTCATCGAGGCTAGACATGAGAAACGCGAAAATAATAACTTGAGTCCAGCTGATGGTGAGTCGACATTTTTATCTACCATTCATACACGTATGGAAAACTTGTATAGAAAATCCTAGCGCATTTTTTCAATAACAGACAGAAGAAAAAAAAAAGTGAAAATAACTGAAAATTTATGCCAAAGAATTACTATGGGGAAAAAAATATGAAGAGAATAAATTTCATAGAAAATTCAAAATTGATTGATTATTTTTAAATAACATTCTTGTAATGAAGAGAACGCGTGGAAAAGCTGCAATTCCCATAGAATTTCCTAGCGAATGCGCTTGATTTTTCTCTCGAATTGTATCAGACGTGTATTTGATTTAGGACCAAATCTCAAACGAATTAATTGTTACAGATATTATAGAAATTGGAGGTCTTGAATTAATTCCAGTCATATGTCCTTCTCACGGCGTGAAAGGCACAAGAAACAATTTCATTAATAAACACTTGGAATTCAATGCCAGCAGAGGTATGGAAGAGGAAAAGCCATTAGAAGATCGTCAATTTGCTAAATGGGAGATCATTGAAAAAGCTTGGAAAATCGATACCACGTCGAATACAACTAAAAATGTACTGAATAAGCTCACAGATGCTCATATAGTTGAGGATAAGATGAAGAAGATGCGAGTGAAGAATGCTGTCCAGGTGCTTAGCAAGAGTGTTGGCGACTTCATTATGTATCTTACGAAGATTGATGGTCAGTAGTTGATTACAAAATGTTTAAAATATTATGATGACTAGTTTTTTCATCCGCGGCGTTGCTCGAAGTTGATCAATTTTTAATTTGTGGATTATCATGTTGTTTCTAGGTGGTGTGGAGACTCGTGGAGGACGTACCAGAGAAAGAAGGAAGAGATACAGCCGAAGTCCTCTATTTCTTTAACGATCTCTTTGATAGCGTGAATGGATATCTAGAAACGGATTCAAAAGCATCATTGAGATGTATGGTGACGGCAACAAGTGCTCATCATGAATTTTGGAGAGGAGCTCTTATCGTATTGGAGAGAATGCAATTCGTTGATCCGGTGTCATTGAAGTGCAAGTTCGTACCGACCCTGAACAGTTGGCTTCTAATAATCAAGGGATTTCAGAAGTTGTGGATATTATTGGCATCCAAGGGTTTCACGGAGTTGAAGACGCGGTTGATCAGCCAAGATTTGCTAGAGAATTTTTTCGGTTGTATCCGCGCTGCCAATGGCCGTAATGTTTCTCCTTCATGTTGGCAATTTGTTGGAACCTATAAATCCCTTCTCATCACCAACATGAAGAGTCCACAATCCATTGGAACTAATTGTGAGAGTACCTATGACGGTGATATGCTTTTCACGGTAGAAAAAACAGTGAACACTAGTGACGATGTTGACGAGATCATTGCTGATACGGAAGAAGAAACAGAAAATCTCTTCAGTCCCGAGGAGATATCATCGGCATCTGCAGACAATTTTGAGGAAAATCCTGTGACTAGAGTTACATTGCTGAGCTCTGCAGCAAAAGTCACCCAACATCTGCTGAGAAGTTCAACTGTAAAGACGTGTGAAAACTGTAAAGCCTCCTTCAATCAATCTACATCAGCAAATGACAACACATCCCCGTTTATTAACTTTTATGAAAGTGTATAATTACGATTGGATAAAGTCATGCCTTTCGTTTGCCATTTTCGACACATTAGTAAGATTTTAGCGGAAAAAGTACACGAAGATGTGGATAATAAATGGATTGTATGTAAAGAACGAGAACACAGGGAAGTTCTTCAAAATGAAGCCGTCACGATTATAACCAGGGAGTACATTACCACCTGGTGCACTATGATCAATCGACATCTCAGGGGGAGAGCAACGAACATGCGAAATAAACTTATATTCAACAGAGCAACAAACAAATTCGAGAAGAGCCTCAAACATCAGAACCGCTGATTATGGCCTCAAGGCTCATCATCGTTTACATCGGAACCGCTGATTATTTCCTCATCTTTTGGACGAGGTCTACAAGGACTAAATGATTCAATTAATTAATTTCAACTCTCTAGAGCGTCCCAAGAAGCACGCAAAACTTTTAAAGACTCCAGAAAGGCCTCAGGTATCTCCAACCTCCCCTCCTCGATGCTCCAGGGCTTCAACTCCCCCACAAAACCTTCAAGAAATCGAGATGGAGACCATACAAAATACAAAAACCATACAAAAACTCCCCAGAAATACTCGGCAGCTCAATCCTCTCACATTTTCCAACGCAATTTTTTGCTCCTCGAGGACTCACGAGCGGAACAGATTCCCTAAGAGTGTATCAAGACAGTCACGACCCAAAAGAGCCTCCCCCTCTCCCAGAAGACGTAGAATCTCGAGATCTCCACGAAGCCCCTCTTGTTACTCTCATTCTCGCAGCAGAAGCCGTTTCAGATACTCCAGGTACACATTCCGACGTTACCTCTCACCTTCCAGATCACCAAGACAAGTTTCAACATCTCCAATCCGTAGAAATAGAACAAATAAATTTTATGACCGGAAAAAAACTCGTTGCAGGTCTAGATCTCCACTAAAACGCTCTAGGAATCTGTCAAAACGCTTCAGTAGTCGATCCAGAAGGTCAACCCTATCATATTTAGCAGTTACAAGACATTCAAATCGTTACAGAGATGTTTACGACGATAAAAAACGTTCTCGCGACAGACAACCTGAAAAAAAGCCTAAAAGAAAATTCAGATCACTCCATCGAAATCAACGAAATCCAGGCTAATAACCCCAAGGATATCATTGAGATGATCTAGTGAAAACGAAGCTACCCCTAAGGATGACGACCCCAAACACGAGGACGAAAAGAGGATAAGAGAGCTGAACACCCTGAAGCAACTGCAGAGTAGACTGGCAGCAAAACCCAGAGAATCGTCATTAGGAAAATGTCTTAAGTAAAAATCGAAACCGAAAGGAAAGATGAGGGGGTCCTGGACATGGCACTTCCTGCAGAACTCACTAAACCCTTGATTTCAGTGGTTAATGAAGTTGTGAGACAGAAATCACTGGATTGTGATGGGAGAATTGAAGAAATCTCCAAAAAAGCTGAAGAATTGAACAGAATTCCTGCTGTGAAATCTGTTGAGTCCAGTCGTTCACTATCTCCAGTACTATTGCTGACTCGAGAGGGAGCTGAAGAGCGTACAGAGAGTGGTTTTGGAAAGATCGAGGGTGGAATTAAACTGAGATCTCCTTTAGACTTGTCTTCCGTTAGTTTGAGAGCATCTAGATCTTCTGAAAAGAAAAAAATCTTACTCAAGGTCGCCTTCTAGGACTTCTTGGAGGTCTCTAACGAGGGATAAGAGCTCCAGGAAGTCGAGATTGAGGTGAAGGGAGAAATCAGTTTCACCTCCTGAACGATCTAGGGCTGGGTCCAGGGGACGGACTGTTTCTGCAGCCTCTCTTTCGAGGTTAAAGGGATCACGGAGGTCCAGGAACTCTTCAGGATTGAAGAGATCGATCTCGAGGTCCGGGTCGATGTCCCTGGAGAAGATTAGGAGCAGGAGCAGGTCCTGTAGCGAGGAGAAGAAGTCGAGAAGTTCTGAATCTAATTCTGATCTGTGCCGAAATTGAGGAGGAGGTGCAGGTCGGAATTTAGAGAGTGTCGGGGGTCCAGGGCGAAGGGGAAGAGAATCGCAGTAAGAGTAGTTCTGCATCTTCAAGAAGGTGAGGAATTAATTGAGAAAACATAGAGCTGGGTACGATTTCATGGAAATCAAATGTGAATATACTATTTTGAATAATTCCTCGATATGAAATACCACTTGAATTTTTTTTTCTTCTCCTATAAATACCATTTGAAATAGTTATTTGGGATTAATTATTTTGTCCAACTAAATAGGATTTATCTATTTGTATTTCTAAAACTCAATTAAACAGACATCTTCTCACCAGTGCAATAAAATATTGTATGTTGTAGAGTTATCCAACGAACAAAAAAATAGGACTAACAAACAAAATGACCGCTGCTCATGAGTCCACTATAATCGTTAATCAAGTGGAAATAATTTAATAAATGAACGTCAGGGGCATCAGAACGAAGCTATCACAGAAATCACAGATTTGCCGGAGGTGAAGATGAACATAGCAGTCCTGAAACGCGTTGATCCATACATCAGGGATATCCTGGAGACAGCAACTCACGTCGCACTTTATATTTTCAATGCTGACAACAATGAATGAGAGAAGATAGAGATCGAGGGGGCATTATTCGTACATTCGACGACGGCAGAGCCCTATCACAGTATCTTCATTATGAATTGCCTAAACAGTAGATCGAGATGGTGGTAAAAATAGCTGCTGCTTCGAAAATGCTGTTAATGTTGCACATCTTTCTGCACCACTGGGGTTCGATGTCACGTCTTAAAGTGTTATGGACTCTTATGCTGATACGAAGGTAAATACAGGACATTCTCAACCTGGTGGTCAGTCAATCCCAAGTGTACACGCAGTGAGTGAGACGGAGTCATTTCCTGGCGCGTTTGATGTCGCACCCAGCACCCAGCAGCTCACACATTAGAACACATAAAAAAGCAGCCAAGATCAATTACCCTCCAGCCCCAGCAGCCAGCATTCCTCTCAAACCTTCCCCCAGAAATAGTCCCCACCCCCCAGTACATACTGCAAAACACATCAGTCATCAGTAAAACGAAGAAACAAAGTAATATTACACCGTAGCAGGAGTCTGTAGTCGAAATCCCAGAAATCAGTCAGAATCCTGATGGAAGACAAGGACTATCCAATCAACGAGACCCAACTGATTGAATTACTGGATACAACAATAAACAAAGTCGACTCCATATAGAATTCCTCGAAATACACGGACAATTTGATTTATCTTCGTTGCATGCTAGATTACATCGAACGAGCTATCCCCGGTGCCAACCGGAAGACTCGAGCAACGAAGATCATGAAAGACATTGATGAGTATATCAAATACAAGGGGCCTGAAAGTATGGACTCTCACGAGGTACATACCTCGGGCGAGGAAGGACGTTGAGTGGGTGGCCGCCCAATGTATTCGTCAATCTCCTTATGTCTACGACCCTATACCCAATCTGAATACCCTTGTCACACTCCAACACCTCCTATTATACATTATTTCAATGGCTAATTCCCAAGGACGAAACAACAACATCACAAAACAGAACACTGAGCTCAGATTCCTTCTATGGAACTGTTGGAGTATCCGCAGAATCAAAGAGGAACTCCTCATGATCTTACAGAATGTCGATATTCTCATCCTACTGGAAACAAGACTCTCACCGAAAAGTACACAAACTCACGAGTACTGATATCCTGGATTTATCACGTAGGGGTGGTAGGGGCAGGGTGGACCCTCGGAGCAAAGTGGACCCCCTCGAATAATTCTCAAGTTGGGGCAAAGTGGACCCTTTCTAATATTATTATTATTTTGTTTTGCAATTATTCATCACAATAGATGCTAATAATATAAATGCAATCTAGAATACACATTTTCCAACTCTATCACACGTATTCTGCGTATATATAACCAACTTTCTTCATAGTTTACATAGTTTGTTATGTTTTTTTAAAATCAAAGTTGATTGTCAATTAAAGGAATACACTGTGAGGACAAATGTAAATTTCCGTTAACTCCTCTGGTGACAAATGTGAACATGAAATATGAATTTTTAACCGACAGCGAACGCATTCTGTCCATCCAGTTGGGGAACATATCAATGTCTCTTGACAAAGGGCGCAAGAATTGTTGGAATCAATGTTGTGGCTATCACCAGTATCGCTTGGCACTTCAGCAATATTTTGAGACTGTAATTGTACAATTTTTGTGGCATTTAGACTCTTCTTCGAACACACAGGACACGTATAATCATCGTCACACTGCCCTGGTAATACGTTTGCGCACACCATGCGTGCCAACTTATCGCAAGCATCACATTGGATCCAGCCCTTTATTCCTTCCCAAGATTTTCCTTCACATAAATCACATAGCTCATCAACAGAGTCTTCCTCCTCTGTATCCTCCACCTCATTTCCATCAATCCCGCTTTTCTCCATTTGTGCATTCTTCAGTTCTAAAAGGTACTCGTCGGTTGTTTTCGCAGCCGTTTTTCC